TTTCTTGAAATATTATCTTGAATGTAATCTTTGACTACAGGTTCCATAAAGACACAGCCTCCCACATTTTGGCCATACCCCTCTCCCAGAGAAAAGACAAGCTTGTTTAAATGAAGAACTAGGGAAAGAAGAAGTAAAAAGCAATGTTCAAATGCATCTAGTTGAAGGAAAACCCACATCAGTAAGGACATGGCTTCAGTGTCAGATCAGTCAGGGTTTTTAAAAACTTTTGTAAACGATTATGTATGAAAGGTTTTTAAAGCAATGGATATGAAAGGGAATGAAAAGGGAGAGCCCTTTTTCATCATTACTTGTGGTGACAAGATGCCAACAGAGATTTCAGTTGTGAGGTCCAAAAAGAAAGTGTGCAGAGGGCTGAGCTGTTCATCTGCTCAAAAGTGACAGGAAGAATGATCTGCTTTATGCTTAAATGAAAAGCAGTAAACACAGAAAGAAAAACTCTTAATTCTAGTTTCTTTGTGAGTTAACTCACAAAGAAACTGGAAAGATCACAGAAAAGCACAGACTGACAGAAGAAAGAACTAGGAAATATTTGGGAGACATTAGGGGACAAAGAAGAAAATATTCCATCCCTGAGAGGATGAGAAGTAGCTGGGACAGAGTTCATTTTCCTCCTAATAGTTGGTACAGTGCTGTGTTTGAAATTTAGAGTGAGAGTAATCTCAGACATTGTCTTGTGATAAAGGGAAGATGCCAAGACAGGAATCTCACTTGTGGAATGATACAAGTTTTCACATTCCAACATTAAATGCTTGAAACTTGTATTTAGAAACCCCTATACATATCTTAAATATTGCTACATCACAACAGAAAAAAAAAAGAAATTATTTGGACAAATTTCAAATTGCTTGCTGAAGGAATTTTGGATTTAATGCAGATTCTAGGAAAGCTGCTGTGAGTCTTCAATTACTTACTTTCTTTGTTGTGCAGGCTCAGCTTCAGAAAAAACCCAGCCAAATTTGTCTGTTATAAAGATATTTTACTGTCATCACTGAAATGTTCCTGCATTCAGTTATTCAAACATCAAGACGCAGGCTGCAAGTATTTATATGTGTTTCTTCATGACTGCGAAGTTTTGCACTGTCTGTATTAAGACAATTTGCATCCATGGGAGCTCACAAGCAAGCTCCTCCTGAGTCGTGCATGTTTCAGACTATCAGCAGAGGTGAAGGTCAGACTTTCCTTAGAAATGCAGTCTGTCCACTGGGCAGGCAGGTAGACTCTCAGTCTATGTGTTCCACGGTGCTGGGGTAGCCCTGCAGAGCCCCATGGGTGTGGTGCCGGTCACTGGGCAGTACTGGCACAGTGCAGAGCCCAGTGTTGTGGCACTAGGGCTGCATCTGGAGGAGATAGATTGCACCTGCATATGCAGATCCACACAGCATGCAGTTCTGCAGAGAAGGCAGAGTTCCACATGGAAAACATCTCTCAAGAGGTCAGGGCAGTGGTGCTGGCAGAGGAGGTCAGTTCTGTGTAGCAATGATACATTCAGTTTCTGCCAGGGAGAATAGACAGTTCTGCTGCCTGCAGAGAAGCTGTTTGACTGTTTGGAACTAAAGGGGATTATTCTCTGTTTCGCGTGAGCTTCTCATGCCTTAACACTGCTTCATGACAAGATGAGAAATTACATGTAGGGAAATAAATCTACTTCATGCCTGTATGCAGCTCTGCCCTCATTTCAGAAACATGCAACAGCTCCGAGGTCACAGAGAAGCAAGTGTTCTGAGCATGGGCTGGGCTGCAGAGGTCTCTGGCCTAGCTTTGTCCAGGTAATGATCAGAGCAAGGCTGTGGTAGATGAAGAAATATATCTGACTACTTTACATGGTCCAGATAAAACTCAACATCAAACCCCTAATAACAGTTTCTTAAGACCTGCATCTGGTACATCACCCCTGGGACCACAGAACTCCCACGACATACCAGGTGGACCAGCACTAGAGCCCAGAAACTCTGCTGTGCTTGTGCCAGCAGGTTGAGAGAGGTTATCCCTCCCCTCTGACTCAGCACTGGTGAGGCCACAGCTGGCATGCTGCATCCAGGTCTGGGTTTCCCAGTATGGATACAGGGAAGAGAGTCCACTGAAGGACTGTAGAAATTATGATGTGACTGGGGCATCTCCCATGAGGAAAGACTGGGAGATCTGGGACTGCTCAGCCTGGAGGAGAGAGGGCTTAGGGTAGGTCTTATTAATGTACACCTCCGTGGAGGGTGTGAAGAATTCAGTGCCAGACCTTTCTCAGTGTTGCACAGTGACCATGAGAGGTGGCAGACATGAACTGAAGTACCAGGAAATTCTTCTTAAGCATAAAGAGAGTCTTTGTTGCTGCAAGACAGACTGAACACTGGGGCAGATTGCCCAAAGAGGCTAGCAGAATGTTCTCCATTCTTGGAGATATTCAAAAGCTGTCTGTACACAGCCCTGAGCAACCAACTGTGACTGACTCTGTTTTGGGCAGAGGGATTGCACTAGATGATGTTTAGGGGTCCCTGCCAACTTCAGCAATACTGCGGCTTTCCTTCTGCTGATGTGCTGTGAGACAAAGTTTTACGGGACTTTAGACATCCTGTCCATGGCAGTGTCCTGGAGATGATTTACATTTATAATTAGCGCAGGGACATGGTTGGTTCTCCACTCTTCTCTCACTTTCTGACCCCTGCAAGCAGTTCTGCACTGCACTGAAAAACAAGAAAATGCTACCTCATTGAAACAGCCAAATGCCATTTGTGACTGTTGGACAGATTGTGAAGACCCAGGGGTGACCCAGCAGAGGGGGAGCCATCAATTAAGTGGATCCACTGTGAGATACTCCTCTGGGAATGGAGAAGGCCCTGACCACTGGCAGGACATGGCATTACAGGGCACTCTTACCATAGTGTGTGGGATTGGAAAAAACAACAAAAATTTCATATGAAGACTGTGTCTGCCTTCTTGCCCTGTGCTCCACTATCTCATGAGGCAGAGCACAGCTGCCATCTCATGCCTGCTTTCTCTGCCCTCATACAACATGTTGATACAGCTTTCTGATTACTAATGTTTCCAAGAGATATCAGCTGATGATCAAATAACCTGTCCCAAGAGAGGCAAAAATCTGCATGTTCAGCACAACAGAGAGCTCCATTCTTCAGAGGGTTCAGGCACTTGGCTGGAACAGGCCTAGTTGTCAGTACTCAGAAAAGACAGATGGGAAACAATGACTGAAATGCAGCTGCTTTACACCATTGTCCCACTATTGCTAATGTCTGTGTAGAAAAACACAAAAAGGGATTAATCTAATTAGCCAGTTTTACTCCTGGGACTGGCAGAAGTCAGCCAAAATAGAAATACCCATTGCAAACCCTCTCCCAGGTTTACCAGCCTCCAGGGGCTGGTGGAAGAGAGGCAACATAATCCCAAGACAGCAGTGTTTGGTACAGTGTGTACCATCAAACCCTGCCACGGGCATGGCACATGGCACTTGGTCAAGCCATGCTGCTCAAAGGATGACACTGGAAAAGCATGTCAGGTGTCCCCCTCAATAACAGCTGACCCTGGCTCCCTCTTCCCTCTGCTAATGCAACCTTTTTTTTTTAATTTTCTGAAAGCCAGACAGTCTGTGAAATAACCAGCACTTGTTTTTCTTGTCTCCAAGGAAACTCTGCTTTATGCTCAACATCAAAACCAACAGAATTTTCAGTGAGGGACATCTCTGCAGGTGGCAGCAAGGAAGCACCCAAAGTAGTAGAAGAAGGAAAAATCTCTGCAGAAGGAGAGGTGCTGGAAAGAATTATGCACAGCTAGGCAGATATGGAAAGGCAAGGTAAGGGGTCCCTGAAAAATTTGTGTTAGTCTTTCTGAGGTGGACTTTTGGTGCTGGGTCACCAAGGAGAGGAGTTAAATAGCCCATCCTTACATGGTGGGAGGGGAGGCTCAGTGCTTATGAGGAAGTGGCATGTCACTCTGCTCAGTGGTCTGAAAGGTGCTGTTAGCAGGTCTTAAGTTCTACTTGCTTTTGAGCAGACCATGGGCACTCCTGAGTGGGAAGCTACAGTCCCCCTACTGCCAGCTGAGTAAAACAGGTTCTTTGTGGGGTCTGTCTTTGCAAAGATGGCAAAGGAAGAATAGATGTCTCCACTCCCACCTGACATCCCCCCATCAGTAGCTCAGTACCTGTGATCAGGAGCATTAAATCCAGCTATTGTGCTATTGCCTGGGCTTTTTTTTTTTCAGTCCTGAGGACCAGGTTCTCTATCCTCACAGGGTTCATAGACTCCCCTTGGCTGAAGTCATCCTCACCCCTCATGCTATTAGATCCTTTGCAGCCTGGCCCATAGCTTGCCCTTGGGAAGGGAAATAAAAGCTGAAAGCAGTGCAACCAATGTTCAAAATTTCCATTTACAAACTGAACTCAGCCATCTTTGTTTTGTTATAGCAGCCCCTGGAAGGGCTTTATGCTTAGTAGGGCATTTCTGTTTCTTGATACCTGTCAGGCAGCTACCTCCCGGACAACTCCTACCACAACAATGGACCCAGGAGGAGAACAGATCTATTCAGGGCCCAGCCCCTGACCCATCTCTTTGGGAGAACACCAGATAAAGGGAGAGTAATCTGCAATAGGCAGGAATTTCAGCCCAGCTGAGCTCTACAACGACAGTGATCACCAGCGGAGCAGTGGGTTTGGGGCCTAAGTACAATACTGGAAGGACAAGTGCCACTTTCCACAATGCTCCCTGCTCATGCCAAGGTCCTGTGATAAGGTTGTCTCGCTCAAGCTTCCCACCAGGCATTTAACCCCACCCCAAGACACAGAGTCACATTTTTAGAGCACCCTACACTGGACTCCTTGTCAGCTCCCTGGACAGCTCCCTGTCCTAAAGCAGATGAGAGCTATCCCTGCTTCTCTCATGCACATGCCCAAGGAAATCTCCTGCCCTGCTTCAGCCCCTGGTACTGGCATCACTCTTATTCATGCATTCAGATTCACTGATAAAACAACTCACCTGGAACCAGTGCAGGTTGCCAAGCACAGAGGGAAGCAAGTAGTTTTTGTCTTGGGGGATTATTCTGCGCTGTTTCGTTCTTTAATTCTTTCAAAGGCAGGAAAAAGGATTTTCTCCCTAGAAAAGTACAGTGTTAGCAGAGAGCTCTGAGCAATACCTCCTGAGAGAGAAAAGGAAGACTGTATATGCTCAGGATACATGGCAGAAAGGGGTGGGGGAGTGGCATGTAGGAGGAGACAGAAAAAAATCTTTGATGATTGCACCAGACCAGAGCACAGAAAGCACCTGTCATCAGGAGGTTGCATAGAGCTCTTACTGGGTTTCACAGTACCAGTAGGTTAGCACTTTCTTCTGCCTCCTCACACAAGCTTCAAGGAGAGCTAGCAGTAGCAGAGATCAGGGCAGCTGTTAAATGAGAATCAAATCTCATCCCCATTCCACTCCTGCCCCTTGCAAGGACTCCTTCCACAAGGGAGGCTGCATGCATAGGTCAAGCCAGTAGCAACAGCTGAGTACTGGACAGGCAGGTCCTTCATGGGTCCAGTCTGTGTGCACAGGACCTCTGAGGTCCAGACACTCCTGTGGTTTGTACAGATCAGCTTTAGGGGATAGACATGTGTCTGTGCCTCAGCCAAACTGCTGCAGCTTCTCTTCGATGTATTAGGCATATCTTATGGAGGAATCCATTCACTCAGCATGCAAAGGAAATACAGTAGCTGTACAATCTGTCAGGGAAACAGACTCTGCTTCCAAGGAAGCAGGCAAAACTTCCACTGCTCACTGGTTTCTTAAATATTGATTCCTGATGCAGTTTCTTAGATAAAAGTGTCACATTTCAAAATATTGATCAATGCACTATGTCAAAACCACAAATCAGGTTACAGGTGTGGACACCACACAGCCCACTCTGGCCTCTGAATGTGGCGGAGTGAAAAATTATATCCAAAAACCAAGCCACAGCATCAAAATTACAACAGCACCTCTGTTTCTAGCCCTACTGAATATGTGACTTACAATGGAGGCAGTTGTTTAATGAAAGTAGCATTCTCCTTAATTCAGGTGGCCCCACTGTCACGGTTTTGCTGTGTGCTCTGGCTTTGGCATACCAAGGCTAATATGTTGCGTCTGTAGCTGGAGCTTGCCACAGAGTTTGAACTCATCTAGTCAGGCATAGGTCAAAGGCAAAGTATCATGTTCATTTTACAGATTATGCTGGAAATTAATTCCCCCCAAATCCTGTGTCCTAATCAGCTCTGTAGGAAGAGGAGAACTGGTCCTTTTCAGCCCAGGTTACAGAGAGCAACTCCCAGCACCAAATAGCTTTTTCAGACATTGATCATAGAATTGTTTAGGTTTGAAAAGAACTTCAAAATCATTCAGTGCAACCATAAATCAAGATGGTGATTAGGTGCGACTTTTCTCAATGAGCCATTTGGAGTCATGACTGTGTTTGTCATTCTCCTTGTTTAAACTTGCTCCAGACACAAGCCATCGCTGCCTTAAGAGACAAGGACACACTTTCTGAACCCAATAAATTGCTTGGTCTTCACACAATTCCATGGCTCATATGGCACTAATGACCCTAATCTTCTTATTGAAGGTTCATCAACATCTCAGGTCATGCAAGTGTCAAGGGGGACTATAAATTCAAGTACTGTGCCCTGCAAGGTTTCAGTCTTCTTTCCAGAAAAACACATTGGAATGGGCTACCCAAGAAAATAATTTTATTCCAAAATTAATATTTCTGGTTTTGGGGAATAGGTGTTCTCTGCCTGTACCACACAACAAAATCCTGCAGAAATGTGGCTGAGAGCCAGTCCAGCCGCAGATGTAAAGGGAGATTGATTGTGGTGGCCCAACCTGGTACATAGTTGATCTTCTTTGCTTCTTCTGATGGTTCACATCGGCCATTGCTGGGGCAGTCTCAGAGAAAGGACATCTCCTATTCCTCATGCCCCTGCTTCTCATGTAGCTTGGCCAGAAGCTACTCTTACAGAAGGGCCCCTGACAGCACTGTTGACACTGCTGGGGGCTGATGACGTGCAGCAGAGCACTCCTATGTGGGACTAGTGCATTTCTACCCAGAGAGTGGCAGAGCAGCTGCACACTTGGCCACCCCTGAAATGCTGTTCTGTTGTCTGATTCCACCTCAGGCAGCAATGTTCAGCTAACAGTGAATAGTTGTCCTTTCCACCTCCTATGCCTGAAGTTCAGCTTGGCTCCTAGAATCTCTGCTAATTCCTACCCTGGTTTTTAATCCCTGATTAGCACCCACAGGCCTTTTTAAGCCATAAACTTGCAGTGACAAGTGCCTTAAACCTTCTGCTTTGGCAACTTTTTCCATATTTTGACTTGTACCTGTGACAATTTCCAGGCAACTTTGAGTTATTAAATAGGACACAGAGCAGCAGCCTGAAGGAGGATATGAAGAGCTCTGCTCCCTCAGGATGGAGCTGCCTGATGCCTAGGCAGTCTTTCCAGGGTAGAGCAATCCTTGGGGAACAAACCCTGTGGTCAGCTAACTTCCCCAAGTCTCTCATCATTCTAGGAGTGCTGGGCACACTTGATCATTCACATCAGAGGCCACATGATGCTCTAAGTTTTCAACAATGGGTAAAAAGGAAACTCATAATGTCACCTTGCGAGAGGCAATGAGAAAAGACATGACAACTGCACCTCTTGTCATGGAGTCACCTTCCAGAGGGTGTTCTGATGCTATCCTTGCACAGCTGCTTGAAGATAAAGGAATGGTTTGATGGGAAACAGCTTTCCAAAATCAGCCTCCTGGAAATTTCCTCCACTAAGTACCTTTTGAAATTATTTATGCTAATTCCACAAGTAGACAAAAAATGTTACATAAGGACAGGGCAGTTTTGCACCCTTTCCATCCTTAGATACATCCTTGGTCTGTATTGATGCCTTTTTCTCTAGTCCTAGGAATACGAGCTAGACACAGGATAATAAAAAGGGGTACCTTTATGTAAGGATCCTTAGGTGCACAGTCTGTCAGGTGACAAACACTGAAGATGCCTGCCACACATAACCTGTGTATCACTTTTACAGATTCTGCAAATGAACATATCTTACAAGACCCCCCCCCCGAATTAGAAGTACACTCCGTGAAATAATGTCCTCTAGCTCTAGCACCTTCTAAATCCTCCTCCCTCAGATAGGGACCAGGCCCTGTTTATAAAAATATATCTTGAAGAGATGGTTTCAACCTTGGTTTCTAAGGAGAGCCAAAACAGCATAGGGGCCCTGGAATTTGTTTTTAACTTTCTGCCTAGGAAAATATTGAAACTAAGTTACAATAATAGACTACAAAGCTACAAATATATGTGTAAAGAATACAGAAAATATATACAAGAAAAAAAGGTACAAATCCAGATAACATCAGTATCTCAGTATCTCTGCCCAAATTGGAAAGACCCAGATCCCAAACAAGGGAAGTTCTGGGCAAATGACTTTTGAGACAAATTTTGGCTAAGGGCTTCTGTGTCTAAAGAAGAGGTTTGCAGGTCCAGCAGAACAACCCCTCCTTTATCATCGCTACTTTTTAAGAAAGACTGATTTCTATTGGGTCTTTAAAAAGCAAAACACCTATAAACGGGCTAAGAGTTGACTCATAATGTAATAAGGTAAATCTCCCATAGGAGTCTCTGTTAGAATGCAGTTAGAGTGTTCAGTTTGGACACACAACCTGGAGGAGGCATTGAGGCTGCAAGGCTAGGATACAAAACACAAGTAGCTGGTTACATCCACTGTCCCATGGCTTTCCTTGCTTCCAGCAAGCACTTTGCATATCAGTCTTTTGAAAGTGCTTGATTTTTCTGAATTGCTGGGAAAAAACCTTCAGGACCATGATGTAGTGAATGGCAGGTAAGTGTCACAGCCCTGTCAACTGAACATGTGGGGACTGGGAGGATGGATATGGACCATTCATACCTAGACCTGTCCTAGGACATGGATACTTTTTGCTGGAGTGTAAAAAGTCACTGGGATATTCCCTGCTGCTAATTGTCATGAGGAAAGATGTGATTTCTTTGAGTGTTAAGCAATCCTTCAGCCCTCCCTTCCCCGGATTTTGCAATTCTATAGTTTTGTTCTCCTTGTTACAGTAACCTTAATTTGGGGGTTGGTATTAATTCTTTCTCCTGCATTGCTCACTGGCCCTGGGAACGGAGTCCAATTATGCAGCTGTGACCTTCATTACAAGTTAGCAGACTTTCTGCAAATGAACTTCCTTCATGTTTCACAGAGCTACTCAAATAATGGATTTTCCTTCCTATGGGAAATGCCAATCTCTCAACATCTATTTTTGCCCTATTTTTAAATAAAAAGTCAAAATTTCAATTCTTACCATACATGAAGCTCATAAAAATTCAGAAATGTAAAGAATGTTTTGGTTTGGATCAGACTGATGTAAATCTACTCCTACGTGAGCTGTAGCTTTTCTTCATGTGAGTGCCTCTCATAACTTTTTTACCTCATTTTTTATAGACTTCAAGGTCTCATGGTGCTCTGCAGTGTCCCCATGTAGTCATGCTGCTATGGTGCATTTTCCTGGACGCAGTCTGGAGTGAGGAGCAAGGGCCAAGGAGAACAGGCCCCAGAGGGCTTAAAGAGACAGAGCATGTGATGTTGTTCTCACTAACAGCACCTGCCAGGACATGTGGTTAGAATTTCTGATAGGACAACAAAACAAAGACAGTGAAGCTAAAAACTGTATATCCAGTGACAAAAATTATTGCTCCCAAATTTTGTCTGGGTAGTTTCAACTGATGAATGAAACAAAGTTTTGTGAATTTCTGAAGTTTCTGTCTTTCTAAAGTGCCCTCATTTTCTTCTTGGTTGTGCTGAGAGTGTGTGCGACTGAGGCATTTTAGCTATTTTGAATCCCAGCTCATGCTCTCTGCTTCTTCCAGGTGCACTAAGGAACTTGTGTTGCACACTCCTAGGAGTTCCTAAGAGTTCTGCATTGGGAGTTTGTGTGATTTGTTATGTACTTTTTTTTGTGTACATACAGTGTACATAGGAAAGCAATGTACATACGAAAACTGTCCCTTTCTCCAGACCATTATTTCTGAGAACTGCTATCTGCCCAGGAAGAGGCATTTCAGACCAGCATGTTACCTGAATACCCACAACAGAGTGACATGAATGTCATCTGAATTTATCCCTTCATCTCCTGCCTTGTCTGATCTCACTCCATTCCTTCTGAGTCATGCTTTCAAATAGTGAGGATAAAACCTTAGGTGTTTTTTTTTGCCATGGTCTGCACAGTATTGTTCAGTTTGAAAAAGCC